TATCATCAATGGAGGGACCCAAATGTTCCTCTTAACATTCCCAAGTTGCAGACGTACAAGGGAGTTCCTGGCAGCATCCTCCACCTGCCACAAAAATAGTATCGGCTCATTTGCACTTGTGTTTCTTCATGCTCATTTGGACAAAGTGACAGATGCCAAGGAAAAAGAAAACCCAGTGCAGGATTTGGCAGGACTCAATGGAAAGAGTGTTAATCTAAGGAGAAGCCCCGGGATGACAAACTGCCCATGAGTAGGTGTCCTTGCAGTGTTGGCAGGATGTCGGATGGGGACCGTCCCAACTGATGCAGAAATACAGCGTCTGAATATTAAGAGAATACATTCATCGGGGGCGTTTGAATCTTTCTCAACACGAAGGTAGTTCATATCCTGATACAAGATCCGTGAGCTTCTCATTGTACAACTAATGGGTCCAGAAGTCACAGAGAAAGAGACAATGGCTCTAGGAAGGGTTTGATGGTGGGCCAGGAGGGCCTCCACCGGTCCGGCACCTGCAGGTTATTCAAGTCCAGTTCTAGAGGTTCCAGAATGAGTCTGAGAAGCTCGCGTGAAGAAGTTTCACGTGAAACTAAGCTTCAGGCAAATTCACATTGAACTTCGGGGGGTGGAAATGAAAACTTCCCCACAGGAACACCTTGGTTCTCCAGAAAATGGTGATTTCTCTGACGGCTGCCATCGGTGCTGAGAGGACACTGAAATCTCCTCCAGTTGGAGGGCACAAGAGCTGGTGAAGGTAATTTTTACCGAAGCGAGCGAGAAGACAGTACAATGATTTACACAGGAGAGCGGCTGTCCGGGGCCCAGTGGGCCCGCAGTGGCCTCCTCTTTAAGCAACGCTATGTGAGGGGGCAGGAAGGGGGAGGAGTGTTGGCAGCTCCAGTAGAGTTGGAGTTCCATTCAAGGGTCTTAAGGCTAAACATCGTTATTGCACTTCGTCAAATGCACTTCAATTCGCATCTCCACCAGGGGCGCCCAGGATTTCCCAGAAGGTGCACAAGGGGAGGCAGGGTTCTTCCGACACCTGGCATTCCTAAGGCATTCAGGTAGTCCCCACACAGACTTGGACGAAAGTCTGACACTTGGCTTTGTCGACCTGAATAGAGAGGCAAGCTCAACATTGCCAAAGAAGATGAGTTCTCAGGAATGGCCAAGGAACTGCCATTTAGGACTCGCCTGTAGTTTCCTACAGTTTGCTTGTCCCGAATAGCAATTCCTCTGTTATTCCCAAATTCATCTTTTTTTTGTTGTTGACAGTTTTGAGCTTGCCTTGAGTTTGCCTGTTTATTTAGGTCACATTCCTTGGTGTCAGTGGGACCTAAAAGAAACGACCTGCAAAGGACAGCGACCCTGGCAGCTCCTTCAGAATAGAGGGGGTGCCCTAACGAGCCCCTCTGTGCTCACAGCCTCTGTGAGTCTCCCTCACTTCCGGTTTGGGGAGTCTCCTCTGGGATGCTGAGCTCCCTCTCCCTCTTTATTCAGAACCTATTTAACTGCTTCATTCCTTCGGTTTCAGCGGTCATCTGCTCGTTTGTTTCCTTGTTAGAAGTGCACTAGAATTTTGGTATAATTACTTTGGAATTTTTGAGAGCAAAAATGAAAAATATCAATGGTCATGGGTCCAGCAAATAAATCTTACCAGAGTTCTCACCACCTCCTTGTGAGAGTTTTGGTCTCTGAAGCAAAAGACTCTGTGAGAGGATAAACCGGTCACAGACAGGCCAGACTGACATCAGGTTGCCTGCCAACAGCCAGGAAAATGTCTGTGAAACGAAGGGACACCTGGGCCTGAGTGGAACAACTAGAGCAAAAGTCGTTCTCTAGGAGAAAAAAACAAAAAACAAAATGTATCCGTGAAAGGCACACTGTCCTAGTTGTCCTAGTAGTGAAACAAAACAACTCCCTACCTGAAAGCGCCCCCTTCAGACTAGTTAGGAATGTTTCTTTTGCTCTCAAGAATACCTCTGAGAAATGGGGGCCCAGGCCTCTGAATGCCCTGAGGACGGCCCTCCTTCAGGGACCCCAGCTGGCTTTATGTTAAAGGTTAGTTTTGCTTCATGTGCATTTTTTTACTAAATGGAGCAACCTTACTGAAGACTAGTTAGCACGTCAGTGGTCATTATGCAGAACTCTCAGTCTCCCCAAACTTTTCTCAGGACTAGATTAGAGAAGATCGCGGCAGTAGAACTAAAGGATCTGAATGGGAAAGCGACGTTAATTGGTACTTAGAGGCTTCTAAACAGATTCGGGCCTCTTTACAAATACCATTTCTAGGTTAACCGAAGCTACTAAATGACTAAAAGGAGATTTAAAAGCCTCTGAGGCCTCTTGCCTGGCAGCACCAACTGTGGCTTCCCCTAACCCTATGGCGCCACCTGCTCTGTATCTACCTTTGCCCTCTTCTAACCCCTTCCTTTAGCACAGTGGTTCTCAACCTTCTGGCCCTTTAAATACAGTTCCTCATGGTGTGACCCAACCATAAAATTATTTTCGTTGCTACTTCATAACTGTAATTTTGCTACTGTTATGAATCGTAATGTAAATATCTGATATGCAGGATGGTCTTAGGCGACCCCTGTGAAAGGGTCGTTTGACCCCCAAAGGGGTCGAGACCCACAGGTTGAGAACCGCTGCTTTAGCAGAAGGTTCCTCTCCGCTAGTGCTAAAACCTTACCCTCTAACCCTCTTAAAACTCTCCCTTTTCTCAGGCCTTCGGAGGGTCATGGCATGGTTTACAGGGGAAGGTTCAGCCATTGCTTGGGATGTGAAGCTCTCAGTCCTTACTGGGAACCCAGAGCAGCGTTCAGGCAAGCGCAGGTGGTTAGCACAAAGCAGCCTCTGACCCAGTGCATGTCATAAACATGAAAGAAGAGAAGGTTTGGCTCATTTAAAAAATCTTCCCCCCCCACCCCCCGAGAAAACAATTACAGCAAAAGTCCCTAAAACCCTTAAATGGAGAACAAAAGCATATACAGACATGTGTGCTCTCCCTGTCACGTGCCGTGGGCCCTGTGACCTCAAGGTGAACAGGCCTGGGCTTCCAGTCAAGCCCAGTTTGAGTCCTAAGGGTCAATCCTAGGAGTGCATTCATGAAGCTTTATTTCCCCCCCAAACAAGTCTGGGCTTCAGAGCCTCAGGCATCAGCATCTTAGCCCCTCAGAACCAGATGGGGAGTCATTTCTGAATGGACACCTGTGCCCCTCAGGCAGGGATGACGGGAGGCGGAAGGGCTGGGCGGGGGCCTGGAGAGTGGGCAGGTGTGTCTGAAGCTGGCTGCTAGTGGTCAGGCCCGTGCCTCCTTTAAATGCAGCGCCCCGAACCTTTGGGATTCCAGCAGGTGAGGAGCATGTTTAAGGAAAGGCAAGCCAGAACATTCTGGAAAAGCTGATAGATGGGATTCTGGATATTTTATAGCCTCTGCCCCAAGGACTCATTGGCAGCTTCTCAACTTAAAGAAGCTGAGAGCCCGTGGCTTTACCCAGGATCACAAACCATCATGGCTCTGCCTCAGGAAATCTCACTTTTCTCTCTAGGCTTCCATCTGAGGTTCAATTTAATCATTTCTCAGCCTCGGGAAGCCTGGGGTCACCCCTGTAAGCCTCGCGTGAGAGCACGGGACCCCTGGGGAAGGTCCCTGGCCTTGACCTCCAGACTTGGCTCTCCAGGGCCATCTGTGCCAACCCTGGGAGCCAGGAGAGGACAGCCCCACTCTGCCCAGATGACTGAGGGCCAAGTCCTGGGTCGAACCATGGCCACTGACCATCTCTGCTGGGGCAGGTCCTGACCTGTCGGGTCCCCTCAGTCCCAGGGAAATCAGCCCTGGGGTCCAGGTTCTCTGCAGCAAGACACTGCGGGCACAGGCGCTAAGAGGGCTGTGCAGTGTAGCCGGTGCAGAGAGAGGCCAGGGCCCTGGCACTCCATGCTGTCACTCACAGGCCAGACCACCTGCATGCTGGCCTCCCTCTCCCAGAGCTGAGTTCTTAGAACTGAACTTCCAACCTTGCTTGTCAGTTTTTAAGGGTCCTGGTTCCTCTCTGCAGGGCCGACACCTGGGCGAGCCCCACTTTGCTTGGGAGGGAACTCTTGCCTTTCCCAGACACCGATGGCAGCAGCCCAAGCACAGGAATGACCTGCCCCAGGTCGTAGGAAGCAGTGGAGAGTCCCCGAGGACTGTGGCATAGGGACTTGGATGGCCCACAGGCGGCCCCACGATCATCGTCCTGAGCTCAGACCTTCCCTGCGGACCATGGCTCCACGGCCACCTCTCTCCACCACCTCACAGAGACTTCTGGAAAACCCACTGCCCCGTTCTCTTTTCCCAGCTCCGGAAGCGAGGACCATCATGGCCTTGCAATGTTTTCAGAGTTCCTCTTGAAGTTCTACTGACTCTAGTAGGAGGTAAAGAGAGTAGCTTTAAAATAAGGCCAAGCCTGGCTCCTGCGTGTCCTAGAACGACCCCATACAGCGGACAAAATCCAGACTTCTGAAGGGCAATCCCAATGAGAATGATAATAGAAACAGAGCACTTGCTACAATCATTTTTCTGAGGTTATGTGTGTCTGCTTGGCTAATGAAGCAACTCTGGGCTCATCACCCTTCCTGCCGATGTCCCATACCCTGAGGAATGCCACAGGAGCACGTGGGGAGAGGCGGAGAAGGACAGGAAGCAAAGGGGCCTGGTGATGAGGCCAGTGGCATGAAGCAAGGCCAGAATTCATCTGGGGCCCCCAGAGCCCTCCCCTCGGAACATCCTTAGGAGCCAGCTGCGGAGAATCCCTAAATCCCAAGGGCCCCTCTCCAGCTCTGACGCTTGGTCCAACTCTTTGGAGAAAGGAGCCGGGGGAGTCCCCGCTCTGTGTCTGTGGGATGCACCCACAGCACCTCAGCTGCTTTTTGGCCTTAACCATTACAGACAGGAAGTTGAAGGGCGCTCCCCTCCCTGTCCCTCAAACTCCCCTGGTCCCGAGCTCCTTACAAACGACGACTGTAGGAAAATAGACGGTGATGCCAGACACAGGCTGTACAAGGACAGGGAATGCTGGGAAGTCCTGTGCCCACCACAGTCTTCGGGGACTGGGAGAAGGAGCAGACCCACGTGAGGGGCTCTCGGTGCTCCCCCACCAATGTCCAAATGGCGGCTGCTCTTTTCTGGTAGTTTTCATCTTTTACTAATATCACGGCAGTAAAAAATTAAAAATGAAGGGAAACACCCTTTAGACCGCATGCCCCCTCTTCCGAAATTGTGCAAAGACAGTCCCGGTGCACACTCTCCTCCCCGCGCCTTTGACGGAAGGAGAGCGTGTGCCCAAGCAACTGGTCCCACTTTGGTTTTCTGTCAGGAAGAGCCTGCTCTGAGAGTTGCTGCTCATGTAGGTGTGTGTGGTGGGGGTGTTGCCTAGGGCGGGGCGGGAGGGTCGGTTTTTGTCTCTGACTGTTCATGAACAGGCCTCTCAGCTGGCGCCGAAAATGTCTCTCCCCGATTCTGGGGAGTGGGGCCCGGATATTTCGAACAGCTCCTGGGGGGACTGGGAGGACCTTCTGGACGCTAATATCCTGAGGATCTCGGCCAGCTGTGTCTCGATGTGGGTCATTTTGGCGTGCAGGGCCTTGATGTCCTCCTTCAGCTCCAGCTTGGCCTCCAGGATGCTGGCCTGCAGCGTCTGCTCGGGGATGGGGTAGAAGGAGTGCTTGACCTCGGCCAAGATGGGGCTCCGGTCCTGGGGGCTCCTGGCCTCGCCCACGTTGTCCAGGCGCAGGTCGCTCTTGGTGATGCCGCTGTCACACGAGTCCGTCTTCTTCAGGGTGGCCTCCCCGGCCGCCTTGGTCCTCTCGGGGAGCGTCTCCATGGACTCGGCCTTGGATACCTTGTTCCAGTCCTCGCCCTTCCCGCAGGCATCTCGGAAGCGGGCCCAGCCCTTGCGCTTGGCACAGTCGCCGGCCTTGGCGCCCAGGCACTCGGACCCGGGCGCGTGCAGCTTGGCGAGGTCCGGCGCCCCCGCCCTCGGGGGGCAGGTCTGGAGGGACACGGGCGTGGCGGGGCTCTCGCGCACCGTGACCACGCTGGCCTTCACCAGGCTGTGGTTGGCCGAGGCATGCTCCACCAGGACGCTGCCCTTCTCCACGTCCAGGTCATCCAGGTCCCGGCCCCCCCTCTCGGCCGCCAGCCTGGCCTCTTTCTGCTGCCGGAACCTCTGGAAGAGTCTCCGGACAGGATGGTCTGGGGGCAGGATCAGGGGGGCCTCATTCTTCCTTTTCATGCGCTCTTCCTCTTCCCGCTTCACGTCGCTGATCTTCCGGAACACGATCTGGGGGGAGACAGAATGACACGCGTGTTAATGGGCCACGTGGTCCCTCTGCAGGTCACAGCTCTGGCTTCCAGCCCGCCCCCACGGGCAAGGCTCCCAGCCCCTCACATCTCTGCCAAAGCCTTCTGGGCTTGGCTTGGTGACCGCCTTCACTTGCCTTTTCCTAAACTCTTCTTGGCTTCCCAACAGCAAGAAATGGACTCTTACTGTGTCCTCTTCAAGAGGGGTTCTGTTCTTTGTAAGCCTCAGTTCCCAAACAAGATACCGGCTGTTTACATCTTTATTCTATTACCTCAGAAAGTTCCCAGGGGCCTAGCACAGTACTTTGCATATCATCTCATATTTTTTACTATATATATATATATATATATGGTCTACCCTAAGAGAATAGGGATTGTCTCTTTTGTTCTCTGTTTCCAGAACTTGGAAAACGCCTGGTAACTAGGGGCCCTTTGTAAACATTTGTGGAATGAATAAATGAATGAATAATAGATAAATATGAGCTAATGAATCAATGGGGGAAAGATGAAATCACAGAGCTCATTAATGTTGTAAAAGGAAGGAATTGGTTCAGACACACAGTCTTCTTACCCACTCTCAACATTAAAGGGCAGGGGCAGTCTTGAGACGAAATGAGATGTTTTAAGGCTAAAGAAAAGAAAGCACTTCTTCAAATATTGAGGAGTCAACACAAAACTTATCCCAGGAGGTTGTACAGTGGAGCAGACCGCAGGTTAAAGGCTTAGTATGCGTCCACGGTGGACACGTAGCTCCTCCTTGAGTTGGATGTGCTCCTCAGCCAAACACCCCTCAGGTCATTCACTTGTGGCCGTGTCATCAGAGGGGGCAGCTCAGCACTCACAGGCTACAGTCTCCTCGGATCTATGCTGATTCTCTGAAGCTCTTGGCTTTTCCCAGAGTGCCATGCTGGTGCTGCCCTCGCTTATCCTGGGTGCCCGGGGCAGCCCCACCTGAACGTCACTGGCTCATCCAATGCGAAGGTGAACCGGGAAAGAGCTGCCTGCAATTCCAGAAGTGCCTTTACGCCCCCTTTGGAAGTCAGAGAATAAGACCAGCAGCCCTGCGGACACAGAGCTGATGTGGCCTGACGGCTTTGCTTATCTGGGGTCTAGGGCTCTGCTTGCTAACTTCCACCGCTGTTTTGGAGAAGTTGGTCATGGACTCTTTTCTCAGAGGCAGCCATGACCAGACATTTGGCCAAGTGCTTTAGATCCAAGTGGGCAGGAGTGACCGCGTGACTCACGACCACGAGTCTATGCTGCCACAGCAGCTCCTCTGCTCTGAAATGCTCCCCAGCTCCCACAGCAGCAGCGTGCCCTCGGAATGATGGGCAAGACCCCACGCCCAGGATGCCCTCTGCTCTGAACAGGCTCTCGCTGGAGGCCTGGGAAAGTCTGTCTTGCTTTTCTAAATGTTCGGTGAAATTTTAACAGGTGCCATGAAGGTGGAAAGTTTCAAAATGAAATGAATTTGAGCCACATGACAATGTTAAATTTGCTGCTTTACTGGAGGACTTCTCAGAGCCTTAACGTGCTAGTGAGCCTTACGAATGTCAAAGACGACAATATCCCAGGCAGCATTTCTGAAATTCTTTCCTCCAGACCCTCTCTTTGGAAAGGGTAGTGTCCCCCAGAACCCCCTCTGCCCAACACTGAAATTACATCAGTGTGGGGGGATGAGGCACCCTCTGTATTTGTGCAGAGCCCTAATGGATGGGAAGGCTGTTTCCATGTTTCAGCTAAATGGTGCCTATCTCGGCCCCTACTGTGGAGCCCCTGGAGTTTGGGGTTTGGAGTCTCCATTGCAGATTCACTGCCCCCTGGTGGATGGAAATGGATCAATTCAAACACTAAGATGACTGATGAAGCTGTGGGATCAGCTCGCCTGCCCATCAGTGGCTCTATATGCTCTGTCTGTACTGAGCAATTTCAGGTCCTGAAATAACGCCCATCAATATCATCTTCCACCCCATTCCTTCAACAGGACTCCTACGTAACCTTCAGGATTCAGCTTAGGAGTCATCTACTCCAGCAAGCTTCCCTGCCTCTCCCTGACCCCCGGTCAGAAGACCTTCCTGGTGGTACCAGGCTTGGGGCAGCCACATGCTCCTCCATCGCAGATTCTTGTTAAGAGGCAGCATTTTGCCTGTTTGTCACTGCCTTAGGCAGTAGCTCCCTGAAGGTGGGCACAATGCTTTATTCTCCATTGTATTTTTTGTGTGGGTGTGTGTTCTTCACCTTCAGTATCAGGCCTGGTACATACGATGCTCCATCAGTGGTCAATGAATCAATGAATGCATCAGTGAATAAATTGTGGCCAACCCCCTGTTTGTGAGGCCCATGCTAGGGTGAAAGAGGTGATGTGTATGCCCCCAGCACGCACACACACATGTCTCTTTCTGATGTTTGTGGTCTAGCAGAGAGAGAGAAAAAGAGATTACAGGTCGCTTTCTCAGTGCACACCACAGAAGCTCCTGTAGAGGAACGAATAAGTAAAATCCTAAGGGACTTCCATTTTCACTCATCTTTAAATCAGACTGACCTAATACTGATTTCATCATCCCTGCCCGACCAATTTTTATTTTTTCAATCTCTTACATGAGCTCAGCGAGCTGATATTTAGAAGTAGCCCTGAGATGAAGGTTTTTAACAGGTGCCACGAAGGTGAAAAGTTTGGAAATGAAATTAATTTGAGCCACACGAAGGCCGGGCCCTGAGCAAGCGCCCTCACACCCGCCCTCACCAGCTGGACGGCCTCGTCCCCAAACTCCCAGCAGAGCAGCGCCAGGTTTTCCTGTTTCATGTATTGGGCTTCGGTGTAAGATTTCATTCTGGGAAAGGATTCCTTGGTCCAAAAAAACCCACTGGATGAGATCACCTCTGAAGTCCCTTTGAGAACGAACAATTTGTGATTATAATAGCACAGTCCTTTTTATTGTGCTTTACAGCTTATTCCACATACTCAAGTGCATTCTCTCATTTAAGCCAAAATTCCAGGGAGGGGTGCAGGGGTCTCCCCCACAGTTTGACAGTTGAGGAGACTGGGGCTTAGCTGGTAGAGCGACCTGCTGAAGGTCACACCGCTAGGTAGAAACAGAACTCCAGGGTGTGGATCAGGGCTCTTGCCTTGAATCACCTTTGTTCACACTGGCCATCTATAGACAGGGGCCACAGCAACAGAGAGGCGCAGGGTCTGTTTGGAGCGGTTGTTACCAGGGGCCCTCGAATCACCCCTGGGAAGGCCCAGCCTCGGGGACAGGCTGACACGGATCATGGCACCAGTGATGGGCTAAGTCCGACCTTCCTGCCCAGCCAGTGTCCTGCCAGCCCACAGCAGGGCCTGACGTGTTGGGCGTGTGAGGCCCACACAGAATGCTAAACAGCTCAGGACTTACTGGACTATGGGGAGACAGAGGATGCCTCAGGGCAGGGACGGCAGCTGTGCCTCCCTCATCCATCTCCGCATCCGTCTGAGAGCTCACCAAGCAAGGGCCCTGAGTCTGGGAGGCCTTTGATGAGCGGTGGTTAAGCTGAAATGAATTGACACCCCACTCCCCAAGCTGCAGGGCCTTCTGAGAAGCTATTTTCAGGTTTATTTGAAAAAGTGTTCTCCCTCTTCTAGATTGTATCCAAAGAGGGCCTGGCCCCTCTCGAGCCCACCAAAATGAGGCCAAGGGGAGCAGGAGGGTCCCAGTAGCACACGGAGGGAAAGACAGGTGAGGGAGGGGGTGGACCGCCCAGAGTCCTGACGGCACAGCAAATGGGAGCCTGGTGCTTAAAAGAGTAAAACTGTATCTAACATGTGCAATGTCAATTCTCAGTGACATTATGAGCAAATGAGCAGAGGCTAAGGTATGAATCATAGGAAACCGTAGGTAAACTAAAAGGGATTTAGCTTGGTTTTTATTAGACTCAGACACACATCCCCAAACTGAAACCCACAGAGAGCAGGAGAAAGAACACAGGCTCGGAGTGGCCCCAGCTCCACCACTGTGTGACCTTGGGCCAATCACGTGCCTCCTGGCTGGACCAGATGAACAGGTCTCAAATGTGGCCGTGCTTCAGAACCACCTGGAGAGGCTGCTATCTACAGAGCGAGATGTTCCCTGGCAAGGTCAGCAACTGGCGTTGGTAACAAGCCCCCAGGTGAGTCTGATGCAGGCGGCCTGACCTGACCCGTGGACCACAGTCTCAGAACCCTGGGTTGATGGCTGGTGTGATCATGACCCTCTGCTGTCTGCGTGCTCCCCTGTGAGTGGCCACACACTACCCGCCGCCTTCTCACCTCCCTGCCTGGCTCAGCCCTCCTGTGTGCTGTCCGGGATTGAGCCTCGGGGGCGGGGGGCGGGGGAGAGAGGGTTCTGGGAATGCCAGCAGGATGACTCCAATGAGTCCCTGGTCCCTAAAGGGTGTCTGAAAGGGGACTGGCAAACTCTCAGCTTAAGTCCAAGGTTCTAGGGGCCCAGGGTGGGCGGGAGCTGGTGGGGTTGGCATGGAGTGACAGGCAGCATGAGCACAAGCTCTGGGAATCAGACAGACTTGTTCCCCAAGCCTCCGTGTCTCGTCTATAAAAGCAGATATCGCTCCTGACTTCATAAGGCTACCAGAGGATTAAGCTGGATAACATCGGCAAGCCTTTAAGAAGAGTGCCTGACATTTAACAGTTGCTGAGTAAATGCAGTACGTATCATTCTTCAAGGGGTGACTTTTGAGATGATTCTAGAAGGATGAGCTGGAATTAGGTAGAAAAGGGAACAGCACATGGAAGGACACCACGGCAGACATGCCACCTGCCACAGAAAAGTGTCTTCGTGGTGGCGGTCCCGGTGGGGTGGGGGCAGTGATGGGCCAGGCACCGCTGTTAAACGGGTGGTGTGTGCTGCCTCATGCCCTCCTGACAGCAGCCCCCCAGGTGGACACAATCACTGTCCTCCTTTTTCAGATGAAGAAACTGAGTGGCTAAGACTTGAACCCTGACCA